ACACACACACACACACACACACACACACAATGAGCTGGTCTTTGTGTGCTTGAGCTGACCTGGATTTTGTGTCTTAAGGTGGATGATACTAAAGCTCAATATAAAACAGAGATAATCCACCTGACACAGCCTGAAGCACAGGAAAGTCAATGCGATATCCAGCCAATTACAACACTGTTGGCACATGCGAATCAAAATCAGGATCATGTCAGACTGAACTGTGAATTATAGCTTCAACATCAAATCAGATGCATTCAACAATTTGTGCAAACAGTCAGCTATCTGCATTACATTTTCTTACAGGAAAGTGAAACCAGTCACATGACCACAGTATGGCAGCAGGATGGGTTTGGCAAGGATTTCACTGCGGTCGCCAACTTAATAAAACCACATTGCACTGATGCCATGGTGGGCTGTCGTACGTGAGGAGATTCACATCACAGCGAACACTGACACACTCTTCCTCACGTAGCCAGAAAGGCAGGGTGGAAAATCCAGGCCCTCGTGCAGTGAGCCACACACACTCATAGTGAAAGGAGGGGCAATTCCACTTCCTGATACTACGGGAAATGATGCAAGCTGTGGTTTGAGTAACTAATGAGATGGTAATGCTACTTAGCTTACATCAAAGCAGCATATTGTTGTCAGTCCTGGTATTGATTGCTTTATGCTATGTGCCTCAGAACAGACAGCATCTGATGCTAACAAGGACACTGAAGGTCAATGTTAGCCAGGAATGTCATAAGAAGGTCTTGTTATTATAGGCCTGTTTTATAACCACATACCCTGCTTTATCTCCAAAAATCACAGCTATGAAACCAAAGCCTTGATCTCAGAGCCCAATGAACACGAAGAACTTCACTTTCAAAACAAACTGTACAATTACAAAAGAATTATGAGGCTTAAAGAGGGATGCTACAATAAAATGATAAATAAAAATACAAGAGTCACATTGAAAAGGGTCCTAAACATGCAGAGATCTATGTGGATCAGAACGCTCTTGAAACCATACTGCAATGCCCTGGCAACCGCCCACAACACCCTAACAACATCACGGGTCAAGTCAATCTGCTTAAGTCATGACATAAGGAAAACTGTTTCCAGGTCCAAGTCTCTACTCGTTTCAATTGAAAATACCATCTCAATTCATATCACACATTTAAGCTTTAAAAACTCACAGGTTACAATTCAGCCTCTGGGCACCAATATTTTAACAATTCATAAAAGATGAATCAGTATTACATCACACCATTTGCTTTTGGCATCTGATAGAGCATTTGGACCCAGAAACGGTAGCCTGGGATGCCAGACTTGACTTAAGCAGATGTTATTTATTTATGCAAATTATTCTTCAATTTAATCAATTTTACTGTCACGTGCAATAATATAGCTTTCATTTTGTGACGATATAAACAATCAAGCAATAGATATTTGCAATATAGTATATATTGCTTTACATGAGTGCATTGTATATATACACATGGATAAAGTTTGCTATAGTTAAGTAGCTGACTTAAGGGAGTTTATGCACGACAATATAATTTACATTCCGTGACGAAACATTTTTTTGCACCACTAAACGAGTTACTTTCAGAAAATGTAAAAATCCTGTTCTTCAATTTTTTTCCAGTTAAAGCCACAGTCACACGCAAAATTTTTATGAAAATTTTACACACTCTCTGGCGTCTTTTTAAAAATATGCTACAAACAATACATCCAAAACGTAAAAATATGTAATGTAGTTCACCTTACTGGAATGCCGCAGTCTTAAAGATTTAAAGTTTGTGTTCAATTCAGCTAAGAAATCACGCCGATATTCACACGATACAAATTCAAAACGTTCACCAGACTTCGGAACACACTTAAATTCGGACGAGCTTGTGAATGAATGGAAAATGGAAGTCAACAGAACAAAAAAAAATAAATTGCAGTGTGACCGACCCTTAAGTCCTAAATCCTCAGCTGTGTCGGGTCATATCTGTGGTCTAGTGTTCCTTTGACCTCTGAGCTGATGCTGTCTTACTTTAGAGCATGTCTATTAATCTGCTGCAATCCTGCATCTAAACACACAGTCAATCACAATGATCTGAAATGGCTTCGACACAAATAACACAGACCTACAACAACTGGTTTAGTAAGTATAAGTGTCCTTTGGGCCTAACAAAGCAGCAGCCCTAAACCCACCTGTAGGCCCTTCGGCTCTGGGAAATAAGGCACTGTGTGTCAGTCAGAGCCCTGCAGGGGAGCGCCAGCTTGTGTGACCTTCCCTCCCCAATCACAGCGCTGCAGACACCGACGCTGGCCAGAATGAAGCAGCATGCATCGTGCTGCCGAGGAGTTGGAGCACTAAATCCTCTTTCCTTCAGAGAGGATAAAACACGCAAGCCACACACACACTTACGGTCCTGCACGAGCAGGACTCTAAGACTCCAGGCCCACATTAGTCCCTAAACACGCTGGTTTAGTTGTGGACTGGCCACTACAGGCAGTAAACAGTACTGTTTACTGTAGATCACATTACAATGCTGGGTTAAAATAGGAACGGGATGCCATAAGGAGCATTGGACTAGCTGGGATTGTACCAGTATGAAATGCATCAGGCTCGCAGTGGCATGGCAGGACTCATATCTACTGCAGCAAAAAGCTACTGAGGTGAGTCCGTTCTCTTTACTCTATGATTCAGAACAATGACTAATATCTGTGCACTGGTGCGGTCTATGAAAGGCCGGTTTGTGTCACTGCAGAGCTGTGGGTGTCTGTTTCACTGGTCTCTTCTGCTGGTTTAGTAGAAGCTTTTGACATTCTGGCGTAACTCAACAGGATGTTACAGAAAATATTCCCATATTGCATCGACACACACTCACTGCAGACCTGAAAACTGCCTCCCTGAAAGAGTGTGACAGTTTGATTAAAGATGTTGAAATGTCTACAAAGTGCCAACACAGTGTTTGTAATAAGCCTAATTTCTTGTCTGTTAATGCACACATGAATTCAAGCAATGCATATACAGCAGGGCTGAGCACAAATCAGAATTTATACATGTGCTCCATTTCAATTCCCAGGATGTTTGAAATTTGAACGACAGGAAGAACAATAATTTACTAAATAGCATTTAATTAAGAACTCTTTCACCCTGGATCATAAAATGAATTTATTTGTAATGAAATATATAAATGCCCATTTCTGTAGGTGGCATTTTAAACATGATTATTCTATCATTTCTGGAAAAACAGCCAATATGTTGTATGATATAATTTATACACAAAATTACATTTATTATGATTTATTAGTTCCATTTTAACGCTAGTTCCATAAATTCACACTCAATTTTCAATTTAGCTTACTGCCCCAATGGAAATTCAGGAATTGAACGGTGGCAAATTTACTTTTTAAGTGCTTCTGAACTGGCAATGAGGTGTCTTTACATAGACTATTTAATGCTGCTCAGAGTTGACAAATGCATTTATACAGCAATTCTCAACGGCATACTATGCATGGAAGCTTGTTCCACTGCGGGGACAGCAAAAGTAATTGCAACTTTCTCTTAATCAGGCCTTTTTTTCATACGGTTCCGAGTTCATCTCTCACAATTCTGTCTTTTTTTTATGCAAATCTCACGATTTCTAGATATAAAGACAATTGTGACTCACAGAATTTTGTGAGATTGCAATAGCTTTTTTATTTTGTGGCAGAAACAAAAACTGAAGCTGCATTATGTCTGGATGTTGAGCAGGCAGAGCAAACTTAACTCGCTCGGCTGCGTAAAGATGCCTTTGGAAACATACAGGCTTGAATACGAGTACAGGCCAACAAACCCCAATGCAGGGGACATCAACCTAGAACAGACTGAGAACCAGACTTAAAATCTGACAACGCAGAAAGTGTCAAGGTATGTGATTGCAAGACAAACACACAAAACAGTCCAATTCCTCCCTCGCAGAAACATGATGCAGCATCATAATTAGCACCTGTGCATAATTAGTGAGTGCCCACGCGAGGAGAGCCAGACTGTGCTTCAGATGTCCGCAGGGGAGCGATTCTGATCCAGTACCATCCATCCATTCATCCATCCATTCATTCATTCATCCATTCCTGAAACTAATAAAGAGCAATATCTTAATGCAATGCACTCCTTCATAATGAAAATAGCAAGGCGTGCGTCAACGTTAAACTGAGCGTTCAGAGCCTCTCTGAAGATCAAACATCACCATCCTCATCTTCATCACCTGCATTCACACAGGTGTTCGCTGGGGAGCATGTGGCGGATGCGCTGCGGGTCACGTCCCGCCACTGCGTCACATTCTCCGCCTGCGCGAGGGCGCGCACGTAAGCCTCTAATTCGAATGAATTCAAAATTAATGACGGTTATTGATAAACTGTCACACATTGAAATTACAGACGACGATGAATGTTAAAAGACGGCTAGTCAGCACAAAACAGCGGAAAACGCAGCGAAATCTACGATTAAAGACGGTAAGTCTGGTGGAAACGAACTTTCGCGAAATTAAATACAAAAATAGCACCAAAATTCTCAGCAGGATGAGGAAATACTGACTGAAAATAACCAAACATGCGCTATTTTATGAGCGCAGCTGCTCTGGCTGACGGAAAACGTAGCTAAAACTGTACACAATAGCGTTGCTAATGAAAACTATTATTATATGACTATTATGATGTTGATTTTTGTAAGCGCTGCTCTGAGGACACTCACCTGCGTTTGCTGATAGTCGGCCGAGACTGATGCGCTCCGGATCGCGAGCTCAAGGTGATCTGCCAAACCAACCGGGAACTACTTCCGTCAAAGGCACACGCGGATTGATACTAATGACGTCAAACTATAAAAATGTCACTATAACTGCTTTCTCGGCAATATTTGATCATATCTTTCCCGGGAATGATCTCTAAACGTGTATTGGTGTTTCGTCAATCAAAGAAAAGCACACAAAGCACTAAAGTCTTGATATATAAAGCCAAGCTTCCTGATGGGGGATTATATAACGCCAAACGAGGGAAGTGGAATGATCCAATCAGAGCGCGAGATACGGCACGGTGCCTGTGCACGAGGAGATCACGTGTCAGGAGGATGCTGCGCTGCTGCTAAACTATAAACGAGTGACAAAGTGCTTGTTGATAATCTAAAATACGTTTAAATAACGCAGTGGACGTATTGCCCATATAAATCTATTCGCCTACAGCGTGCACACAGCGAAATTGATGTACTTACGCGTTAATCCAGACGCACGCAGCATCAGCGTTCATTTTTTTTAACTCTTCAAAGGGCAAACTGAAGGGGTTTTACCCTTATATGTCGCTTATATACATCACACTAGTGATGTAAGGACACTACACAAAGTATCATCACGAAATTAACATGCTTATATCACAAATGCCACTTATTCAACCATTATCAACGAGTACCATGGTAGTACTATGCGTTTTTGTGCATATACCATGTTTTTGAACATGTGCCATGGTAAAACCTTGTTGTTTGGACAAGTTATGTGGCAATACTATGTTGTTGGACACGTGCCACTGTAATTCAGTGTTTTTTTGGACGTGCACCATTGTGTTTTGTACTTGCACCATGGTAGCACTATGCTTTTGACTGATGCATTATGGGGAAAAAACCATGACTCTTAAATAAGGTAGTCATTCAAAGCTGCCTGGTAATATTAATCGGTTATTATCATTTGATACCATCATTGTACCGTCATTGCACTGGCTAGTGGCATGCAATTGTCTAATTTACGACAGGAATGTAAATATGAAGTGATGAATTACATGAATAATTGTATATTTGTGTCACTTGGAGACAGACATTCATAGAGCAGCTGTTGCATTCGTTAATTAATAGCACCCTCTAGTGTGCATATGCTGTCACCAATGGCAGTGAAAACATGTTTTCTGTCTCTACTGTATTTTAGATCAGATATGCACGGAGTCTGGGCAGGTAAAGCCAATGCAAGATTATGGCATCCATATGAAAGATCAGCTCCAAGGTTAGTTTAATGACTAAAGATTCAAATGCACCCGTTTCATGGCACAGACTTCAAATCTGCACTATTTATTTCTGTACTTTTAACCAGGAATGATATGGAGTGTAATGAGTGAAAGTATAGGACTATTACACATAGAAATATCTGAATGTTATATGAAACCATATGCATTGGCTTTTCATCTTGTGATTGATTCCCAGAACTGGAATTAACCTCTGCATTTAATTGCAAGCTAATTAAACTCTGCAAACTAATTAAACATCCACTTGTAATTGGGGGTTCATGGTGCATCTGCTATATGCTTCACTGCCATTGAACGTGCATAACACATATTTTGCAGTTTACACACTAAATTATTTCTGTGGTGATTGACAGCAGGCACAGATGCCTAGAATTGTATTAAAATATAAGACATTTCAATATAAAATGTGTTGAAATTGTTAAAAAGATAATTGCGTGCTTAAATATTAAGCATGCAAAATAAGAGGTCACTAGGTGACAACAATGTAGCATGCATGCTGTTTAAACTGTCCAGTCACAGTATTTCTCCACCTGGTGGTCACAGGCGGAGGTGTTTCATCTCAAAGATGTTTCATCTGTGTGATTTTTGTCAATTTTCAGGCCTCTGCAGATAAAATGCACCACTTTTGAAAACAATCCCCGTGCAACACTGCACAACTGCACTTTAACTTCCGCAACACTGATGCTCAGCCTAAAATAAAAGGTTTATAGGAAACTTTGGCCATATTTGAGGACTAGCAGGATTGATATGGATTGAACCTGACAGTATTAAATGCATCGTTTTAATATATGCAGCATTTCATGTTCTGGACTAGTATTGGTTATTGTTTGAAGATGAGTCTGTTTTGAGGCCAGTTTGATGCTGTCGTACTGCATTGACCATCTGCACGTCTGTGTCCAGGTGAAGGTGTGTGAACTCACCTGCTCTCCACGACGGCCCCGACGCTGCTGCTGCTCCCGCTGCCCATGCTGACCGCTGCTCACTGACCGCTGCTCACCTGCTGCGTGTCCTTGTGCCTCTCGCCCAAACC